CGGCTGAGATCTCAAGGTTGCATCTGTAAAGGCAAAATGCAACACTTAACAGAGGCAGCATTGTTCACACCAGACAGAGCAATGATTCCCCCGTACTTAAGGGCAAGCACAGTCTACACAATAGCATAATTTGCCCATCCCAGAGCGAGCGCACATAACCCATGGGAGCCCCAAAATGGTGAGAAAGCACAGGGTCAAGCGTGACTGATTGTTTCACGGCTGTACTGTCCTCTGGGTTTCTGTGCCAAGGGGAGAGCCAACAGCAGCAGGGGGCCCCTATACTGAACACCTCTCCCACATTTTCCATAGGAGTTTGTCCTGGAAGATGTCTCACTGCTGAGGGTGACCTGGGAAGAAAGGGTCTTCTACTGCAATGCGGCTTCCGCCCTGGCCCATATGCAGCTTGCCTGTGTTCAGCAATGGTCCCCCCGCCCCTCATGCCACAGTGGTGTGGACATGTTAGCTTTACTGGGACAAGGACCACAGTGGCTCTCCCGAGAAACCTGTGCAAGCACATTGCACAGCTTCTTGATGAGACCTTTGAAGAGATCACTGAGGCCGATTACCGCGATGTGAGAGAGCACATCAACGCCCTATTCCGCATCTAGGCATGCATGCAGCCCTAACCTTCCTCGCCCCAAGAGCCCGCCCTGAATAACTTCCTTCCCAAAATAAAAGCCGCTTACCGGGAACCTCCTCTGATGTTTGTCCTTCCCCAAGTACCAGCCGCCGCAACTGGCTACCTTCCTCATGGCTTGAGAACAGTTCCTGGCTGCATGCATCTAGGGATTCTGGGGTGCCTTCCTCCGCCTCAGCACACTTGCTCCCACTTTGCTCCTCCTCCTGCCTTGTTGAACTGGGCTCTGAAGTGTCCATGCTGGCACTCAGAGTGGAGGTGGGGTCGCCCCCAAGTATCGCGTCCAGCTCTTTGTAGAAACGGCAGGTCATGGGGGCTGCACCAGAGCGGTTTTTGCCTCGCGGGCTTTGCACTAGGCATTCCACAGCTCCTTCACTTTAATCCTGCACTGCAGTGCGTCCTGGTCATGGCCCTTTCCATCATGTTCCTTGATATCTGCCTGAAGGTATCGTAATTCCTACAGCTGGAGCGCAACTGGGACTGGACAGCTTCCTCCCCCCAACACTGATGAGGTCCAGCACCATGCCATTGCTCCATACTGGGGATCGCCTGGCGCGTGGAGACATGGTCACCTGGAAAGATGCGCTGAGAGCACTCCATGCCTGGATGAGCAAACAGGAAGGGGATTTTCAGAGAATTTAAAGGGTGGGTCTGACTGTTGGTCACCTGAGGGCAGGGCAGTAGAGTTCAAAGTGATGACCAGAGTGGCTAGAACAGGCACTGTGGGACACTTCTGGAGGCTGATCAGAGCGCATTAACAGGAGAAGTCGTCCACACTGGTGCTGCGGTGCTCCAGCAGGGGCGCAGCAAACGTTATTCCACTTGCTGAGGTGGAGTACCAGGAGCGCTCTAGCCGTGGAGTCAGAGCGCTCTATGTGCCTTGCCAGTGTGGATGGGGAGTGCACTAGTGCACACAGGGCTCCTTTATTGCACACTAACTTGCAAGTGTAGCCAAGCCCTAAGGCTCTATGCCTCCTATCTTCTTCAAGGAATCATAGGAGGGCTGGATGGGGAGATGCTGTGCCCTCCCTCCCCCTGAGAATCTGAGACCTTGCAGAGAAGCCTCAAGGGGGAAAGGATGGTGTCTGCAGAGGCATCTGAGGCCCCATCTCATGTGAATGGGGGAGGGGAATCTGTGCATAGAGTTTGTGTGTGTGTGGGGGGGTGCTCTTGTAGGTGGAGCCTACAAGAGCACCACATGGAAATACCTTTTCATGAGAGGACAAGTTTCTGTTGGACCCAAAACACCATCAGTACTTCACTTTTTTCCTCCTGAATTTTGTAACCCCTTTTGGACTATTCCCACTTTATTAATCCAGGGCAGCAGCTAAACTCAATAATGACACGCTGGTAGCATATTTATATATTTTTGGAAACTGCATGGAATGAGGGTCTCAGGGACGCATAATAACCTTCCAGTTCATGTAATTTTGCCCATAATCCTGCTCCAATTTGGGTTAATATCACTGACTACTAGCAAAGTCACCCATTTTACTACAGTCAGAGTAGACCTGTCTGGCCAGACAGGCAGAAATCACCGCATTAACAAGTACATGATCTGCAGAAAATTTAACTGCATATAGTTTGGCTAAGACAGGTGTTGTGAGCTGGGGTTCGTGAACACGACAGGTGGCAAAAGGGTTGTGACCACCTTGCTCTTCCCATACTGGGGCGACACATCCCCCGACTTCGGAAACCAGCGGGCGCCCCAATGTAGCGCAAAGGCTGCTGGGAGAAAAGGGGCGGGGCAGCGGAGAACGGAGGCGGTGACAGTTGGGTCGCGAGGCCGGTCGGTCGATTGAACTCGCGCGCGCCCCCTTCCCCTCGCGGAGCCCCCGCCCCCCACCTTCCCATGGAGCTGGTGCTGGCGGACACGCTGCTGGGCCTGGCGCAGAGCCCGGAGCCCTGCGCGCTGCTGCGGGCGGTGTGCGGCGGGGATGGGGCCGCCCCGCTCTCCGTGGAGCGGGTGGAGACCCTCCGCTTCCTGCTGCAGTGGCTGGAGGCCGGCGGGGCCGGGGGGGAGGCGCTGCGGCGGGCGGCCTGGGAGGTGGCGCTGGGGCGCTGCTGGCCCCTGCTGCGCGGCGGCGGGGGAGCGGACGACCCGGAGCGGCGCCGCCTGGTGAGAGCCGCCTGCGGGGCGCTGCGGCTCTGCGCCCGGCTCTGCGGGGCCCAGCTGGCGGCGCGGCT